TGTTCATCAAAGCCCCGCCATGTGCTGGTTGGGGCCGCCCGATCCACCAACACACACAAACACGCCCATGCAAATGTGTGTGTGTTTCGTGCTGAGCTGAGAACAGGGCCACAGGTGATAGCACTTTATATTACACACACACACAAACACACACTCTCACACAGAGAGAGGTTTGCATGGTGGACCTCTGCAGCCGCCTCCCTCAGACCTCATTTGAGGATGAAATCGTTTATGTGACCAAAGTGTCATTTATAATTAATGACCACTTGTGTGTAATTTAGAGGGATCTCACCTGTGGCCCTGTCCGCAGCTCAGTGGGAGCACACACACACACACGCGCGCTCGCAAACATAAATGAGCCCAAGAGAGAGCTGGTACAGCCAAGACTACACTGTAAAACATTTGAAGGTGGTTTAACTTAGAAAGTTAAACCACCTTCTGCCTGCTGCCTTGAAAATGCAACTTAAGTCAACAAGAAAATTGTTTTGGTTTTAACTCAGAAATTAAAATTTATAAAGTTGATTTAACAACAGGAGACAAGTTGTTTAAACGTTGTTTTTTAAGTTCATTAATCTTGAATTGTGAGTTTTAACTTAAAGCTGTAATTTAAACCAAATAATAATTTCACAATATAAAAATAAAACTGTCCTCACCTCATTAAAGAGACATATTTCTCTATTTACTCACATTACCAAGTTAAAATAACAACTTATTTTACTTTAGAATAATTTAAATTTGTGTTTCAACTTGAATGAACAATATTTCTGATCTAATAATACATTTCATTAAAGTCGGTACCATGACCAACAGCAACTTATTTGGATTTCAAGTGACAATAGTCCCTGTCAGTTTTATTGATGTTGGAATTATGAGGAGAATTGTTTACTCCTTCAAAATCAGAAGTTTATATACATTTCCTCACTATTTGGTCGCATTACCTTTGAACATATGTTTGACTTTATGTTTTTTCTTCCACAAATTTCTCACAACAGTGTGCTGGGTTTCTGACCCGTTCCTCCTGACCAAACTGGTGAAACTGGGTCTAATTTCAACTATTTTTTTTTTTTTTTTTGTGGGACTTAGATAAAACCTTTGTGATGGGTCCCAAATGTTGACCTTGTCTGACCTGGCCAGACAAGGCCAGGTCATCATTCATTAGAAAGATCAGTTTGTGTCCAATGTTTAACTTGGTTATTTTCTCATGAAAACAATCTATTCCATGCAGCTAAAGTTTCGACCTTTTTTTCAGCCAGTTTTGAAACTGTCATTACAGTCAAATACTTAAATTTTAGTTTCACCAAACCACTGGACAATTATGTTCACAGTGGTCAGTATCAACCTCAATCAATATGGTTTGCTATTGTTCTGACTTAAACTGTTTATTGCCCAAGAAAATTCTTCCTTGGCTGATTTTGCAAAGACAAAGAAGTTCCCTAAGCCTTCATGACAATTTATGTATTGTTTGTTTAAGAAAAAGTGTGTCGTAATCATTGCAGTGCAACAGCGAGAACCACATTTTTCAAGATGCTTGCTGAATCTCTTAAGGCAAGACAACACAGCTGAAGTCATTTCTCAAACTGCCATTCGAGTCAGAGAGCTCTAGGCGGTGTCATGTTAAACAAAACAGTGCATTGATGCAATGCACAAAGACTTGGTTATGTCAATGCGATATTTATCACCTCTGATCAAGAAGAAATTAGTGTGAAAATAAGGTCGTAGATCACTGTGGGTTAGATTAAGTGTCAGAGGGGAAAATAAATCAATGGGTATGTCCTGCTTGGTTGGAGTGGCCAGTGGAAAGTGCATCTGAAGGTGCTGTGGCCGCAGGACAGCGATGCTAGACTGGAGCTTAATGTCTCTGACATCCTTTAATATGGTGACTAAGCACCATAAGCCTGAAGAATAGTGAGTTACACTGTTTGTTCTTCCTTCTCTTAAACAGCTCTCCTGTTTCTTGTGTGCTGCCGTTTCCCCTAAAGCTTGATATCCTCTTAAGAGCTCTGCTGTTGTTTTATCCGAGCCACAAAGTTTGAATTTTTCCCTCTCTTTTTCGGTTTTGTTTTACAAATTTGCTTGTGCAAATAGGTAACACCTCTCCGTCGTTGGAAACCCGAGTCAGTGTTGTGTTTGGGCCCGACTCCATCCGATCTCGCATGCAGACCGCTAAAGTTATTACTGCAGCATGCTTTGCATCGATACTCTGCAGATATAATCACAGCAAAGACACAGAGGCCACTCTGACAATTGGAAACACTCGTTACGCTTCTCATGTCTTCACTCAGTTGTCCTCAGAAAGCAAAATAACAAACAAGCTTCTGAAATGTCCTGGAAAGATGCAGGCTCTGATGTCTGCCAGCGGTTTAAGTAAATGGGCACTTTATGTTCACCTTTAATACACCTATCATAAAATAGGGGCCACCTAATCCACCTTAAAAGTATCTTCTGACTCTAATGGGCTCCCTATTAATCTGTCCCACAAAGACAAGCCGGCCACTGTCGAAGACTCTCCTCTCTCTCAAATCAGATGAGTCCGGTGTTTGGCATCAGTCGGCAGAAAACAAACGACAATCTGATCCAGCCAATGAGATGCTCCTAATTAATGAACATGTACATGGAGTGATTTGTTGCCATGGTTTCCTTGTTAGGTTAAGTGGTGAGAATCAATAGGATGGTCAGTTGTTGTCTTTCACTGCATTTCTTCTAATACTGAGATTTGGCTCAAATTTGTACCAACATTTGAGAGTCATGAGGCGACCTTTATATTATTCTGACTTTGCTAAAATAAAATCGTTTGACTGCAAATAAACATTTTTTAGGTCCCTTGTGGGAAATTTATAGTGTGGCCATGCACTTTGTGGATGTTTTTTTTCTATTTAACAATTTCAAACTCAATTTGTTTATTTGGGACTAATTTGCAACAAATGTCATCTTACAACAATTTACTGGACAGACAGACCCAATTCATACCAGAAGCATTAAATTAAATTAATCTGTGCAATCTAATTATAGGGCCAGATTGAAACATTCCAAGTTATAATACAACACAGTCACATCTAGTTTATTAAATTAATTGGTTAAAATATGTGTAGCTCAGGAGACACAGCAATCTCTCATCCCAAACCAGTTTCTTCTTATACACGTGTTCATATAATTAAAAAAACACTTACAAATAGAGATGTACCAGTCAGACTTATAGTGGTTAATATGAAGTTAGTTTTATTTGCGCTATGAAAACAAGGCGCATCAAGGAACATGTAGCAGCCTCTGCTAACTGTATCTACATCAGTTTGTTTCTCTCCTGTTTGCTCTGAAGAACTGCATTTCAACTTAGCCTAACTCTCAATGAAACTAATCTGATTGACATATTTTTTCCTATAGTTTCATTACATTTATGACTAAAAGGCAGGTGATTAAGAATACATTTTAAATCCTTAAAACTTTTAAAGAACCATGACATTGGTGCGCCAACGCTGATTCTTTTTAAATATGTCAGAAGGCAAAGTTGGAAATCGTATAACTCAAATTAAGTAGAAATTATAACAACTGCATTGTCCAACTGTAATGGTTGGAGAAAAGTGTTAGCAGGTTAAGAAAGTATTGATGTATTGCTTAAATCTTCTAGTTTATACTTGCAAATTCCTTGCCAGCAGCAGGTTGTGCACAGAAATAAAAAAAATTTGTGACTAAGATTTACATCAACTTGTGTTATGAAAATAATAGAGCATAGCCTGTAATCAAACCCAAAACTTATGCTTTAGGTCAAATAAAGAGTGTTTATTTTTGAAGAACAGATAATCACCACTTGTTCTGAACTCCTCCAGAAATTAAAAACTATTGAATTTACCACAATCATCATATCTTCATCAGCCCTTAAAAGCATCGGGTCGGCTTCAACTCAAAACAAAAAGTGCTTGTAATGTGTCCGCCTTTCTTCTTGCTGTTAACCACATGCTTTGAATATGTTTTTCAGAGTAGTCACCTTCATTTGCTTATTTGCAAACCTGCTCCAGCCCGTGTTCCTGCCTCTCCTGGCTTCCTTTTGATTGCTGAGATTATGCGGATGGTACAATGTCGTCCATCGTCACTCTCTGGCTTTTAACCACTTCAGTTTGTATCCCTCATACCCCCACTGATATTGACCATGTTGCACGTTATAAATCAACCCAGAGTGGGGCTACCTTGCAAGTACCCTAATGAAAGCTCATTTATAAAGTGGCTAAATGGTCCTGACAAAAGTCCTAATGAGGAAATCAATAGTTCAATGATTGTTACTCTGCGTATACTAATACGTTTTGCTTGTGGTGCTTTAAATCCAACTAAGAGAAAGCCATTTTTTTACTGTTGAGTCCTGTGTGTCTGAACTGTTGTAGATTTTTTGGAGATAATGTACATCAAACTTATGTTAAAAGAGAATAAAGGAAGCATTAAAAATGTTTTATGGAGTGGAATAAGAAGGTAATAATAAAAAAAGAAAAGCTCAAGTTCTGACATTTGATTGGTGTCATGAGAAAGCATCACACTAGCAGACAGATGGTGGCTCACCCCTGCAAGGTCATTGATCATCAGCATTAGCAGCTGGGAGTGTGTGCTGCAGGAAGCCCGGGGTGCAGCACCCCAGTCCTCTGTTAATTGCAGGAGCAGGTAGATTAAACTCTCATGCTCCACCCTGTGCCTCATTGTTGGGCCTGCATCTCTAGGTTTGCATAATGTCTTGTCAAAGGCCCCCTTAACCACAGATTATCATTATGATTGAATATGTAATTACTGAAACGCATTATGCATCCTTTAGAACGATGAGTCAGTGGTTTAAAGGTGCAAATCCAGATCCGTTTAAAGTTGGAATCAAACATTGATGCTATATATTTTTCTTCATGTATAGTAGACTTGAGACAGTGAAGTGCATAAGGTTGAGATTTTGATGTGAAGAAAACACCCCCATGTTTCCGCTTACCTTTTATTCCTGGTCCCTTTACAGTTCCTGCTTCTTTTCTTATTTTCAGAACAAAGAATAAGCTGTGGTACTTTGAGTTCGGCACTTCGGAGACATTTTCGGCCACGTGTAAGAAGCTCCATGACTTCTTGGAGGTGGAGGTAAATCAAACTATTCTGTTTGCACAGAGCCATGATAGAAAAGGAACAAAAGCAAAGAAAAACATCATAAAAGTGCCTGCTTTTATCTTCCTTTTTTATGAACTCTGAGTTGAAAAACTAATCTTTTCTCTGCATTAATGGGAATATTAAACTGGCCTCAAGGTAAGAATAATTGCACAGCTAAAGAATATTCTGGCCATCCTCTGTTCCATAAATATGCTAGTTTCAGCTTCAGAAAATGTGTTGACGTGTGAGGGCTATCTCTGCAACTCCCCGCCTGCTTTTCATAGATCCCCAGTTCAACACTCAGGTAATTAGCCCAACGTGACCCTGCTGTGTGCGATATTGAGTGATAATGAAGCTGGTGTCTATACAATTCATCTTCCATCTTCACAGAGCTATCCACACAGTGTAGAGGTCTTCATCAATTAGCGCGCTACAAGTAACTGCAATACTATTGAGCTGCAAGTAAGTAGATGAGAGCCGATCAGATGTGTTAAAATCCACTCTGCAGGATTCTGCTTTTTAGACTTAACAGAGGACACTTACAATGCTCTTTTCTTAGCTAAACTTGGCTTATAATCTGGCTTTAAATGGTAAATTGAATTTATGTAAAACTTTTCTAGCCATACTGACCACTTGAAGTACTTTGCACATTAGTGTGATGCTCTATGAGTTGGTTAGTATAACCAGAAAGGGTTAACTGTGGATGCTAACCGTAGTATGCTAATATTTACATTAGCGAGTTAATTAGTTAACACAGTTGTTAGCTTAGTGAATGCCAGTGAAGTTTGTCAGCATTGCTGAAGTTTTGAAGCAGCATGATAATAAACTCTGGACATCAGTGTTCCCATAACATGAATCATACAGAGTCATACTTGGCAGCCACTGAAACGATTTGATCGACAGCTTATCGAGTTCATTGATTTTGTTTTATTATGAGAATAATCAGGAGCAGCATGCAGTAACTTTTGCATCAGAATGACTGAATTTGCAAGGCTGTTAGCAGCTAACTGCTCTGACATGCAGACAGCAATAACAAAGAGAGAAACCGTGTCGCAGTGGTCAGTTTTCTGATGGAGCTGCTGTTTGCATCGACTGTGTGAAACACCAGAACTACATAATATTAACATGTGAAGTGAAGTGATGGTGAAATAATCAGCTGACTTGTGTTTGGGCCAGCAATGGATTTCTACAGAACCAAACCGCACATTAACCAGTGAGAGCGTAACTTGCCAGTGGAAAAGCGCCTATAGTTACTCATTAGCTTGCTGAAGTTAGCATTAGCAGTCTCACTATTCTGGGTGTTAGCACGTTGACATTAGCATTAGCATTTCTAAGCATTGGACGAACTTTGTGATTCTCTGTTTCTCCCAACTTTGAAATAATTATATGAATGAAACTTTACAATATGTCATATTCTATCAAACTTTGATGTATCAGCCACTTTCACTAGTGGAAAAAATATATACACCACTAAGAAACATTTTCTTTATTGCTCCATTAATAAGAAGTTAGCAGTTATACATAACATGTTAATTTCATCTTCCCTTCCGTTTTTCTTCTTGTTTGTAACAGTGTGATGGCGTCACCCTGGACCTCAGCAGTATCTCCTTAGAAGGCATTGCTATCCTCAACATTCCCAGCATGCATGGCGGCTCCAATCTCTGGGGCGAGAGCAAGAAGAGGCGAGGTCAGCGCAAGGCGGGAAAGAAGAGTCAAGAAAAACGGACGCCAGTGGTCGACCCCAAAGAGCTCATGTTTGCTGTTCAAGGTAGCTTTTCAACATTATACATTTATTTGTCTCAGAGGTTTCTACGTTAAAATCTGTAAATAAAAAGCTCACTGTGGCACAAAATCACACACAAATCTGGAAAAATAAAAGTCTCCTCCACTTCTTTTTGTGATAGAGGAGTTAAAATGTTCGTCTTTTCCCAGAATCCTCCTTCAGACTCGGTCAGTTTGTGTCCTTGCTCCTTTCAAATAGATCAAAGTCTAAACTTTTAGCTAAACTTTTCCATTGTACATTAATATTTCACCCATGACAAGTTGAATCACAGACAGCAGGTTTTGTTTGCAAAGAAAAGGTACAATCATGTCACTGTGTGGAACTGTCACTTGGGTATTAATGGCCTGTGCAGGCGGCAGTGGGCAGGGGCAGCTAATGGGAGCAGACTGAGTAAGGTGTTGGGCAAACCCTTGAATCCATTTACGTCAAAAGGAAACCCATCAACGATAACATGAATGAACAAAACATAATGAGTCAGCCACTTTGGTAGATGGACAAATGGCTGCGATCACCAAAGGGAGTTATTGGGAAAGAGACAAGCAGGAATTTAGGTCTTTTTTTGTAAAAACAAAATCTTCCCAAGTAGTTGTGGTCTGGTTTCTAGAGCTGTAATTTCATGGAAAATGCCTCATTTCAAGCAAGACTTGAATTCAGTTCATATAAATTCAAAAGTGAAGTCAAACACTTGTGTATGGTGACTTTAACGCTCATTATAAATATGAAACTTCAACATATTTCCTTCTGAGAGCCCCTTCCTTGCCTACGTCTGTTCTGGAAGCCTAACTTAGTATTTTAACTTTGCCTCCTTTGGATTTTGTGTGGACATTTTCCCACTGCTGTTCAATACAAGGTGATAATGATGATTGACAAATATAGTTTCAAAAGCATAAAAAATTAAGTTTGAGTGATTTCTGAACAGGATTTTGACTTAAATTATGTTCTGATTTTTGGAATAGGTAACAAAAAAGATCTCTTATTTCTTATCTTTTTATTGTGTAAATCATATTTGGTGGGCAGTTACTGAACATACTGATATTAAATTTAAAATTTTAGATAAGCAGACAGCAGGAGAATAAAATGTACTCAACTCTAAGAAAAGAGGAATGAACTGTTTATTTTAAAGCTTTTCATTTGATTTATTTTCCATCACTCATCATTTATGGAGGTTTTTATTTTTAATTTACCAGTTTCATACATTTTATATTTGGTTTGTTTTGTGTTTATCTCTGACGGCTGGTGTGAAAGTGAGGTGCAGTGTGTTGTGTAGGCTTCCTGCTGTGCTGGGTTTGTCTGGTTGTGGATGTTAAAATCAGCGCTGACGAGTCGGCGAGGCTCTGCAAACATGGCTGCAGGTGATCCCCAGTGAGACTTCACTGGTCCGAACATGATTGGTAGAGAAACTGATCTCTGTGAAGATGCACGAACCCTTATTCTCATGTTTTTGTTTGTTTCCTGTTTTTGGATTATTATCTTTGATTTCTCTGGTGGTATTGTGCCTTCAGAGCTTGCTAAAATATGTGCATTTCAGCAGCTGCACTGTCAAATAGCAACAAACAGTTTACAGAAAAATAAAAAAAATGCTCTAAATCACAGCAGAAACTGATGAAACAGGAAACATGTAAGGAACTATGTATAACCTTGTAATTTTTCCACAAAACATGAAAAAATGCTCAGCTGACATGTAATTTGACATTATCTGTTCGAAAAGGAGCAAGTAGAAGAAACACGATCTTATGATTTCCTGCCCTTCTCATATTCATCAATCCACAAACATTTTAATTTCCAGATAAACTTTAATTATTTCCACATTTAATTACACTTAAATCTCATATTCTCACATGTACAATTATTTATACATCAAGCATTCATCAAACGTGTAAGTTATTAATGTATAAATTAAATTCATGCTCCAGGTTTGCAGACTTTAAAGCGCAGATATAATTTGACCGGGAGTTAGCCTGTTAGCATTAGCTTCCATGTATTATGGAAGCTAATGCTAATGCTGAGGTTGCTTCTTCTTTATTTAATTTTTTATGATTTTTTTTTTCTGTAAGTTTGATCAGTTCAAGGCCAAACCTGCAACAATGAACACTCCATTAAATCTTGAATAAAAATCAATTGTTGCAGCGTTGGCGGAGTCCGAACCTGGGAAGGCTCTTAGCGTGAGCGAGGAGTGTGTGTATTTGCTCTGCGTCCAAAGCTGCGTTTGTTTCGCTCTGTCTGAGACTATTGATGTGTGTGTTTATCCACTTGTGCTTCATATGTGAGAATGGATGCCCTTGAGGAAGGTGCCCTCAAGGAGAGCGGCCTAACTTGTCAGATCAAGAGAACGCCATATTTATAGGTAAACAAAGGAACGGCTCGACCCACTGGGGCCCCACCATCCACAGATCAAACTGTTGGGAGGGATTTTGTCTGGTGAAACTGTGTGTGTGTGAGTGTGGATTGCCGACTTGTGGGTGGCTAAAAATAAATAAATAAATAAATAAATAAAACGTGACCTTTCGGGAGCTGTTAAATCGTCCCGCTGGTGACGCCAGGAGACAAGCCCCTCAGGTGGAAGGGAATGGCTGCAGAGTGAATTATTTAGAATGGGACTGAGGTTTCGCGAAAAGAGAGGGAGAGTTCATGTGTGGGTGGAAGGGGGTTGACGTCGAGGACTGATCCCCCCTGACAACCCTCACGTCGGAGGATCGCCCCCTCCCTCCTCATCCCGCCACTCCTCTTTAGTTTTACGTTCACCTGATCTGGTCTAGCGCCGCTCCACCGCTGCCCCCAGCCCGTCGCTCCACATGTGTCAGAGCCGCCACCGACAAGAACCGTCTCTACTCACGCTAAATCTGTTTTATTTTTACCCATGCAGACGTTCAGGAGTTGAATGAGGAATATATTGTAAAATCTGATTACATTTGGATTCAGCAAATGTAAAAAAAATAAAATTAAAAAAAAGAACATTTTATTTATTAAAGATTATTAGATCCATTTAACTTAGCCTGGTTGCTGCCTGACCTGTAGAATCAACAAACATCTTAAAGGGGCAGTACTCTCTATTTTCCAGGCATGTAATACCATTTTATAGTACAATCAAGTAACTTTCTTACCTTCAGATGTCATAAAGTGCTTTATATCGCAAATATGACGCAAAAGAAATTTTATTTTGTAAATTAAAGCCTTAAAGTTAGGCTTTCTGAAGTTATCACAACATGGCTCCTCTATTGACTCTTTATTAGTGTTTTCATCAGCGTTTCACTGGGAAGTAGCTCCTATAACGAGCTCAGCAGATGCACAGTGCCACCCAGTGTTTGCTAATTGCTGCTGGCTAGTCTGAAGGAGCTGAGTGGGGAGGCACAAACCTGTCTGACAACATGAAGTAAAAGAAGCTAAAATAGTTAAAAACACAACAAATTATGCACTGATGTAACAGAAATTTAAGAGCAGATGAAAAGAAAAGTCTGTGATCTTTGACAGACTTGGGGAGTTTTTGGGGAAAAGATTGGAACTGCGCTGTTCAGACTGCCACAAAAAAGCAGATTATATTTCACATTTGGGGAAAAGAAAGAAAAGCAGATTTGGGTCAAATTTGCGTGTTTGGTGAGACTCGCGCTTTGCCGGTGAGTCTCAATGGGAGGATCGGCCTTAAAGCCCAGAGCCAGGAGGTCAACCTGCTGTGGACTGTGTGTACACAAACTCTTCCACTCTGACCCTAGAAAGCTCCGCACTCACCACTGCACTCTCAGATCGGGGCAGACGCCTGTCCATCACCATGGTGACAGCTGGACACCGCATCAACATCTCACCCGAGCAGCAACATCGGCTGCGACACTCCTCCAGGAAACCAACACGACTCGCGCGAACACAACAGCCGTCGAGCTCCGCCGCGTGACAGCGAGCCAACGCGCTCTCACGCACCGCGCGCCTGCAAACGGCTCTTTGTTTCAATTAGTATCCGGATTCTCCCAGCAGCGCTGCAGCGGCTTCCTAATCTGTGGAGGGACGAGTCGACGGAGCGGGCCCCTGGAACAGATGGGCCCTGCGTGACGCTGAGCTTCCAGCAGGGTCAAAATCAATGCTCATAACTGAAAAACAGCACAGAAATTAATAATTATATTATCACAAGATTGCTCTGCGTTGCCGGTGCAATCTAATTAATTGCTGTTTAGTTTGTAGCTTGTTGGCTCTTTTCCTTTTTTCGCATGGGAAACTGAATGTTGCACGTCTTGGAAGCAAAAACCTGAAGTGATGAACAAAACGTCTCTTTTATTAGCCTTCACCTTCTTCCACTTCCCTCTTTCATGTTCTACATTCTCTGCTCTGTATTTATTTGTAAAAAAACTGTTTTCAAGATATTCCTATGACCTTTTTGAGCTCTTCCTTTCTGTGTGTCAGACCTTTCTGACCACCTTCTGGAGGTGGTGGGGCTTGAAGGAGCCATGGAAATGGGTCAGATCTACACGGGCCTGAAGAGCGCCGGTAGACGGCTGGCCCAGTGCTCCTCTGTAACCATCAGGTCAGTGTTTCACACGCTCCACTTATTCGTAACCTTGTAAAAAGCCTAAAATATGCAACTTTATTTTTTATTGAAGTGATTCAATCGCCGTTTTTTCATCACCAATGGAAACTCTGGCCTCTAGAAAAATGTTTTTGTTTTCGTCTGCACCAACTCTGAGCAAGAAAGATCCACTTAGATAGGAATTGGAGGCGTAATATCAGAGAATAACATTCAGAGTCCTGTGAGCGATGTGTTTATATTCTCAGTGACAGATGAGAAAACAAAACAGTTGCTGACTTTCTGGTTTACTTTGAAATGAAACATATTTGTTGACACATGGACAAACTTGTTGGCACGCCTCATGTTGATGACCAAAACCCACAGTGGTCTCTGAAATAAACCAAAAATAAAACTCAACAATGAAAATCAAAAAGTGCTTTTGAATTGTGGTTCAAGCTAATAATTTAAGAAAATAGTTCTTTTCAACAATAGTTTCAGAATTGTGAGAATTTTGGAAAATTCTCAGAATTCTGAGGAAAGGTCAGAAATATTTTTAAATTCAGAATTCTGAATTTTGAGATTGAACACAGATAATTTTTTTTACTTTAAAAGTGTAATTCTGCGAAAAACTCAAAATTCTAAAATTTAAATCCAGAATTCTGAGGAATTTTTTTTTTTGAAAAATGAAAAAGATGAAATTCAGATTTTCTTTTCAGTGTCTATGAAAAAAACACTGAGAAGGCTATAATACAAGCACATTTTGTATTGGATTTTACTTTGTGGTGTAAGAAGTCGACTTATACTTTTTTACTGTTACTTGAGTAATTTCCTGGATTGTTACTTTTCACTTTTATTTGAATGAAAATATGTTGAAGTAGTGATACTCTGGAGTACTCTACCCACCTCTGCTAAAGATATCTTTGATTATCTTTGATTATTTATTCATTTAAAAGTCTCTTTGGTGCAGCAGGACTTTTTACAGTGTTGTATTTGTAACCTGCAGAACCACTAAGTCCCTACCGATGCAGATTGATGGTGAACCGTGGATGCAGACTCCCTGCACTGTAAGTCATGACATGTATTCACTATTTCTCAAGCACAAAGATTTCGCTTTGCTCCACCTTAATTAGTGGCGTATCCCAAATAAACAGCAGCTTTTTCATCCTGTCGGAGGTGATTTCAACCCTTCAACCTGTGAAATACTTTTAAAAACATCTCAGTTTAGGTTGAATCTCACTAATTATTAACAACAACAGCATGTATGCAAACACACCTCAGTTCCTCTGCATGCATGATATATTTGCACCAGCGGTTCATTTGCATTTTGACGCCACATACAACATGTATCACTGATAACTAGCTCTGAATTAACCGTCATAAATGTAAATTGCTGCTTTCTTTCCGGTGTTTGTTTCTAATGGGAGTATTGATTCCAGTCATTTCTTATTATCTATCAATGCTGTGATATTTTTAAAACTTTAACATTGCATCTTTAATTCAATCTGACTCCATTTGATGTCTTCCTTCTGATCCTCCCTTCCTTTTGTGTCTTGTGTCAAAAGATGCATCATAAGGAAAATCAGAAGCGCTAAGTTCTTGTTTAACGATAAAAGTGAGTCTATAAAAGCCCGTAGGGGCCACAAAGTCAGAGTTCAACTCCAATAAATGGCAGCTTCCCTTTGAAGGTGACGCGCTCCTTTAAATGCAGATGGAAGCTCCACATTGAGACTCTAATGATGCAGCCTATAACCCTTGATGGTTGATGCGAGTTGCTCCATCAAAAATTTCATGTAGCATCATTGCTAATTCAGGCTTTGTTGGTCTGTGAAGCCAAAATTTTATTATAAATTATGATGCACATATGTTACCATTTGATGTCAGAGTCATGCATCCGAGCGACTCTCAAACTGCATCGTATTAAAGCTCATAGATGTGCATTTATAAACCATTTGACAAGAACCCATATGGGAGATTGCTTCTGTTGGTGATGCATTACTGAATTCAAATCTGCATGTAGATGACAGTGTATGAAATGAAGCATAGGTTGTTATATATCAAGATAAGTGACACGTTTAACAGAAAAGTAGAAATTTACTTTGATGTATTATTTGTCTGCTTCGGAAACATTGTAAGATTTTCTGCAAACTGGTGTGAATATTGCTATTAAAATATCTGAGACTTTTGTTGCCAGTAAAAATTTTTGTTGAACTTCTTAGTCTGTGGGGGAAAAATAGGAATGTGGCATTTTTGGCAGTTTGTCTGCTGAACTATTTTTGAGGATTTAACCACCAGGTACATCAGGAGTTTTGTGTTTTTCTGCTTACACTGGCAACAAAATGATACTTACAACTTATAACCCCCAATTTTGTCTCATAACCCAAATTAAACAAAACTGGTGTCAAACATTTGTGCAGTAGAAATTATTGTTTGTGCCGCTATCATTTAAAGGTGCCTTCAGGGGTCATCAAAGATCAACCAGCTCCCCACACATTTAGAAAACCAAACAAATTTGGTGTCAAACAACTGTGATGCTAAAATTTTAGCTGCACAAAGGTCATAAAATTAATTTATATTTTGTTCATGTGGAGCAGGGCAGGTTGATCTCTTTTTTCTCAATCTTAAAAATGATAGTGGCACAAAGTATAACTTTTGCTGCACAAATGAAGCACAGTTGATTGACACTAAATCGCGTTTCATTTTGTAAACTTGGACTGGCAAGTTGACCTTTGACCTGCTGGAATATTCGAAATGTTGCTGCACAAACATTGACACCAGTTTTGTTTAATTTGAAGAAGGTGGTGTGAGAGGAAACTTTGCTCAAGTCCTGTAAAAACAATTTTATTTAACTCTCAACCCTGATTCACTCCAGATGAAGCCAGACCGCACGCAGTTCTTGCACTGCTCTGTGACGTCTGCGTTCTTCTCCTGCAGATGCGAGTCGCTTTGGTGTCGTGAACCGTTCACACTGAAGTCTGATATCTGAACAAAATCAGATTGAACCCCCATACCTGCTGCGCTTTAAAATGAATTTCTGTGTGTTTTAGAGGCTCCCCAAACGAGATTTCTCCCTGTTTTCCTCTCCTCCCAGATTCAGATCGTCCATAAGAACCAGGCTCACATGCTGATGGGAGCGCCGCAAGGCCGCAGCTTCCTCTCTTCAATCCTCAGACGAACGCGCTCTGAAAGCAAAGACTAAACCGTCGTCGAATCCGAGTCGTTTTAAGCAGAAGCAGCTGCAGCAGTTTCATCAAGACCCAGTGGTCCAGTTGTTGAAGGGACTTTGACGCCTGTTTGATAGCCCAGCGGCCGTTAGCGCTCTGTAGCTTCGGTTTGTGTTGCCTGCAGCATGAAGATGTCTCTGAGATTGAATCCAAAATAAGCTGTGATTGGAACAGAGTTTGATCTTCTGTGAGCTCCAAAAATACCCCAGTTATTTCTGGAAGTCCACCTCTGTTGTTCTATTTTCTGTAAAAATTTATTTTATTTTCTTGCTGTTGTCTTCTGTGCCAATTTGAACAACCAAATGGATGAATTATGCATTTCTTAATTTAATTTTTGTTACTTAGGCTTATTTTTAAGTATTTCTGCATTCACCTGATGCACGATGGAAAGTAAAAAAGGTTGCTGCTGTTTCAGATGATTGTAAGCTATAAAATCTGTTTTTCACTCATGAATTATTCAGATTAATTTGCAATATTTTTCTTATGAGTTGTCCAATTTTTATGCTGCTCTTTAAATGGGAAACACTTATTGATTATTCATAAAACATGCATGCTCTTTTTTGTTGTATGCTGGGAGATTTCTAGGAAGTTTCACCAATTCCTTGTACATTTGCTGTTGCATGAAAAAAGCTACAGATTTGAAAATATTGTGGACATTTTTAAATCTAGGCTTTGAAGCACTCGTCTTTACTTTTATCACTGAGATGAATGAATTTTGGTTGAAAAGTGCCATAAATTACAGAGCAAACACAGCAGCCAAGTATGTAAAATCACAACTACATGTTTGGTTCTCTTGGAAGCATGAATTAAACACCAAGGTCTTGAAATAAGTTTACTCACTGTGTTTATAGTGCAAAACGTTCACACAGCCAACATTTACAGTTCTCCAGAGGCTTTTTTATTGTCTTTTATGCAAAAACACAAAACATTACAAGGTATTTTTGGTGTAGATTTATGTTATTACACTTAAAATGAGACCAAACTTACTTACAAATAACTTTTAAGCAAGGTATAGGTTCTTGATTAAAGATTATTCCTTAATATTGATGAAAAATTACAGCACAGATGATTTCACTCATAACCAGGCATTTTTCCCATGTTAAATTTGTCTTTTTTTCAAGTGCAATAAGACATTTTCACTGGAAACTAGACCAAAACTACCTGGTAATATTTTGTATTTTGCAGTGTAGTAAAATTTGCCTGGAAATAATCACACCAAGCAAACTTTTAACTTTTACTTACAACTTGCCATGTTACAGATAAAAACTGTAACTCTGACTTTGTGATTTGCTGTTATGTTCTGCCAAAACCACAAAATCTTACCAAGTATTATTGGTCTAGTTTCTAATGCAAATTCTTTGTACAGTTTGAATAAAATAAAACTAACTCTTAAGTAACTCTTCAGCTGGAATCATGAGCTTCTTTTAAGTCTGTAATTTCTTAATGTTATAAATATCCTCGCTCCATTGGCAGATTATTTCACTTATAATAAAACATTTTTATAAGTGAAATAATCAACCTTTTCATTAATGTTAAAGGAATTCTTTACTCTGAACAAGATACAATATCTTGCTGAAAAATTACTTATGAGTTAGTTTTGTCTTACTTTAAGTTTGATAAATACTTTCTCTGGAAAGTAAGCCAAAAAAATACTTGGCATGATTTTGTGTTTTTGCCGTGTTCGAGCTATAAAAGCACTCTCGTTGGCACTGGTAGTTATTTCATTTCTGCGTGTTGCCTTCACTTGCACCAAAAGCATAAACTGCTCTGGATGTTTTGCTGATTTACTGTAAGAGCCCTGTTTTTTTTTTTTTTTAAATGCATGTTTTTCTGAGAATGACCGTTGGACTGGCTGTTCCTCTAAAAGTGCCATCCGTGATGTGGAGACGAAGATCAGAGTCTCACTACTTTCTTGTGCTTTGTAAAGTGCAGCATTTGTACAGTGAGGTTGTATTTTTGTACACAGTATGATTTATTTTTCCGCTTCCTGCTTCACTCTGGCTCTCTGTTCTTGTTGCCCACAAACGACTTATGTCTGGTAGCACTGACCGAGAAAAGTGATAGAAACAATTAAAGGCTTTAGCTGTTTGATGCAGTCTTCTGTTTGTCTTGTATTTTGCAGTAAAAGTACAATTTCTACTCTACGCACTGATTGGCTGTAGTCCTAATAATGCCAAATGGTTTCCATTAGACATTTTAATGCATATTAATATACATTTGAACTATCTTAAGCATTTCAGAGGGAGTCTTACAGATTTTAGATGTTTCTTGGTGACGTCCTAAAAACAAAAGAAAGTTCTTAAAGTTGCAGTATTTAACTTTGATATAAATATATGTATTTACATGACTGTTCAAATTGTCACTATGTCATCACAATATGGTATGAGACTGATTATATAAATAAAATCTGCCTTCTCCCAGTGCCAAGTATTAACAACCAGAGCCAAGAGGTTCTTGGCGCTGTCAATCACCCTCTGTGTGGCGCTTCTCTCCCTTGAGCTCTGCTACTCTATAGCTAGCACAGCCTGTTATGATTGTTCAGGTTAGTTAGCATTAGGTCGTAAACAGTTTTCCTATAACTGCAAGTTTTTTTTGTCATTAATACTTTTAGCAGGGTGTACATGAGCTTTATTGGCAGCAATAAGGCCCACCTCCTGGTTCTGATTGGATGTCTTTGATCGGGAGTGGCTTATTTCTTCTGACGACAATAATTGCTCAGAAAAGAGGCAGAGGAGATTGATGTTTTCAAATTATCTCACATTTTACTGTCACATCTTTTTTTTTCTCAAATAAAAGTTACAAATATCACCTTTAACTTTTATAGGAGGCCATATATAGTCAAAATATATCATTAAATGTGTTCCTGTTGACGGTCAAATATGTCAAAATGTAGTACAGCTAGCATCAACAGGAAGATAGAAAATATTAACCATTTATTATTTTTCCTCATTATATTAAAGAGGAAAACATAAAAAAATACTGAAAACTGGTGCCGAAAATTATATTAAAGACTAAAAAACTAATTTAACAGCTGCTGAGCTCTGAAAGTTGGTTCATGGTTTTATCTGGGCTGCAGAATTTTCCTTCAGGTGAGAAAATGCAGCTCGGATTTTTATTGCTGCGTCTTGATTGTGAAAACCATCAATTATTCCCAGGCGTCACAGACTTTACTGTCGTTTTTCTGGTAAATTTGCTGCAATCTTCATTCTCCCGTTTTCTCAGAGATAAGAGCCACTTCTGGGCCGGCCGGCCGGCTGGGCAGCAGCACTTGACCTGCGTTTCTCCATCGTGGGTGGAGTTCAGCAGGAGTGGCACCGCACTTCACTTCACATCAGCTTCACCTGCCTGGTAATGGATCCAAGATGGCACCGGCGTGACACGTCCGTCTTTCAGTCAAGAGTTTCCCTCAATGGTAAACTTTACTTTCAGGGATTTCACCTCAAACTGTTCTGTTAGTTCAACTGGAAGTTCACAGGCAAAATGAACTGAAAAGGACAAATTATACAAAGAAGAGAAAAGATTCATTTCAATGCAATATGCTCTTTGAATGTTGGGAAGAAAGGCAGTAATATATTAAATATGAATCATTTCGTTCATTCTGGAAACCAAGCAACACATTTCTTAAGTCGGTTCAAATAAGCACAAATAAAACAGCAATAACATTTGCAAATTCAGCCACTTTTCTTGTAAATTTTCTACTTTTCACAGAACTTGAATTTTTTTTTTTTTTTAAAGAAATTGTCTGACTTTCTGAGGTACTGTATGTAATCTACATAGTGGATTAGACTTGCTAAAAACGCAGATTAAATGTTAAAACCGGTACTTTTAGTCCTGCAGAACGCTGTTGCTAAATTTTTCCATAAAATAAATGAAAATAAAATTGTCCCACTGAGTTCCTGGAGCAGTTTTACCCGGTGACCTGTGCATCACTTCCAGGTCAGCTCTTTACAATGTTTCCCTTTACAGGAGAGGGAATCGCTGGCGCTAAGCGAGTCCCTCTGGAGGCTCTTCAAAACACTGTTCCCATGGCCACGAACTGGACCGGGCAGAGAAGTGAGTGGCGTGTTTGTGGCGTGTTTGTGTGTACACACTGTATGTGAATGGAGCCCAGGAGGGATGAAAACTGAGAGAGACGAGAGGAGAGGGTTGAAATATCCAACTCTGGAGCGAAGTTATTCCAGATAATCTGAAAAAGGCCTTAACTTGCTCACTTTCTTGCTTACTTGCTTCCTTGCATCTTTGCTTCCTTGCATTCTTGCTTCCTTGCTTACTTACTTACTTGCTTCCTTGCATTCTTGCTTCCTTGCTTACTTACTTACTTGCTTCCTTGCATCCTTGCTTCCTTATTTACTTACTTACTTTCTTGCTTCCTTGCTTGCTTGCTTACTTACTTGCTTTCTTGCATCCTTGCTTCCTTATTTACTTACTTACTTTCTTGCTTCCTTTCTTGCTTGCTTACTTCCTTGCTTCCTTACTTACATACCTACTTACCTACTTGTGGCTTACTTGCGTCCTTGCTTACTTACTTGCTTCCTTGCTTGCTTACTTACTTATTTGCTTACTTGTTTACTTGCTTCCTTACTTGCTTCCTTGCATCTTTGCTTGATTACTTGCTTACTTCCATACATCCTTGCTTCCTTGCATCCTTGCATCCTTACTTGCTTACTGGTGATACCGGTGCTGCTGTACGCTCCGTTCGACTGCCAGCAGCGATCTGATCCACTGAAAAGCTTCGACATCCAATAGGAGGCGGAGGAGCGCGGCTCGTTTCCATGGGAGGCCCCGGGAGGCGATGCCAAGCCGCCAGGAAGAAGCCCAGTGCGCGGGGAGAGGCGCAGGCAGTCGCCGGGGCTGGAGCCGATCCTGCCGGCCGCAGCGTGGCTTTCTGTGCGCGGATGAACACGACGCGAAGGGGAAAGGTGAGCAGATCTCCTACGTCTCCTCCTGCTTTTTGGTGCGCCCTCCTGCTCTGTGCGCTCCTTTTCTCTGCTCTTTGATTGATGCCTTTACTTTCTATTAACACCGAATATTCGATTATTCTCTAGAGAAACTGCGTTGTAGAAAGAGGCTGAAGCAGGAACGTCATTAACTTCTTTCTCAAGCTGCACTTTGCGGACCTGACATCGAGGAGGATGGATGGAAATCACGACCAGCTGGTGCCTTACAGTAAATCTACAGTAAGCTCAACTTTAAAAAGCTCATCTAAAACTAGTTCTTCTGTTCCCACTGGCCCAAACCACTCAGGCAGTAAATGCAGTTTTATCTTGATTGAGCAGATTTCAAATTAGATTTATAATTTTTGTTTCTTTTCAAACTTTTCAAATTACAAATTATGCATCTAACTACGACTGTGCAAGTAATTACATGTGTATTTTTGTTTTAATTTCAGCTGTATCAAAAAAGACACAATTATTTGCATGATTTTTTGCCACTTCCTTGTTCTATTTCTGCAATCTGTTCATCTAAACTTGAAATTTTGTTGAATTTATCTATAAATATTTGGGTATTCTCTTACAAATTTGTATTTTCCAAAACAAACTAAAAGCTTTTGCAACTTTTAAGCTGAATTGACAGGAACAGAACGACTGTGTTGGTCGCTGCAGCTTTGTTTCAGTCTGCTTGATGTCATGCTATTGGTTGCATTTAAATTACATTTTGTAACACATTATTGCAAAGACAATTTTACGTGGAAATGTTGTCCAGAAAATTACCTGAGAGTTGAGAATTTCTAGTAATATAGGTATTTTAAATCAATAATCAGAAGATTTCACTCTGTTAAGGAGCAGTGAGGCTTCAGTGAATGACCACTTCAGTTGCTTTGACTCAGAAAATAAATAAAAATCTCTTTTTTCTGCCAGACGCTGCAGAAAAAGACATCTTGCCATGAGAGTCCAGCAGACGACAGAAAAAGAAAATTCATTAAGTCCAACCTGGCTCTGGACACTGAAGGTGGGTGCAGGACGGAGGGAGAAGTTAATTTCACGGCTTCTAAACATTTAGCAAAATTCAATTGGCTCGCAGCCACCTGCGCCGCCGCTAGAAGCAATTACAGCACACCAATCACACTGCACACTCTGAGCTCCAGCCAGTCATAATGAACTCAGTTGTTTCTGACACTTTGTTTTGTGTATTTCTGCTTTTTCTCCCCTCAGAGCTTTTCCAGGACCTCCGTCAGCTGCAGGAGGCATGGCTGGCAGAAGGTAAGTGCTTCAGGCCTCAAGGAGGGAAGCAGGAGAGGTTGAGAGGTTGTGGTGGTGATACAGTGAAGAGAAAGAAAGAAAGAAAGGAAAGAAGCAGGCTGCAGTTGCATGCCTTGCGTCGCAGTCCAATTAAAAGCCTGTGTGGAAGAGGCACCTTGTGTGTCATGCATACATTAGAGACTGTGAGCGAGCGAGGGGTCTGGAGGGAGACCGAGGAGGCTCTACCCAGAGTGTCATCACAGATTACCAGGAGAAGGAGACGCTCACTGTCTCTCCTGCTTTTGGCAGCAGCCAACACGCTGCGCGCCAGCCGCCGCCGCCGCCACAGCTCCGCTGCAACTCTCGCTCTCTCTACTTCTCTCTCTCTCTTTCTTTCCCCGTTGCTTCCTCTCAGCACTCGTCTCTTTATCTTCTACAGCTGTACTTTACTATCACCTTGTCTTCTTAAATTTCACTTCTTCATGGCATAGAAAAAGAAAAAAAATGGATCTATAATTTTTTTTCCCTCAAACTTACCAAACAAACCCGTCTCTCAGAGAGGCAATAAGTTTGGTTTTTGTTTTTTATCGTCTTTTTGCATTTTTTTTTTTTTTCTGATGGCAACACTTGCTCATGGTGGTCTAACTGAGACGGGATGCTTCAGGATTTAAGCGCGAGCGTCCTCTTTCCGTCGTGTCTGCAGCACCGAACTTTTGGTAAAAATTTTATTTCTATTTTGCATGTTGGACTTTAAGATGCAACATAATAATTTTATCTCAGTTTTTGTTGCAGTTACAGAAAAAGTTTCATCTTTAGGATTTGAATTATTGAAAATGTTTTGCAACATGAGAGTTGCTGTAGTTTCAGATTTATTCAAAAATTAAACTAAATATATCTTGTAAAAAGGAAAAAATTGTGTAAAAATGCTACATTTCTGCATGAATATTTACCATAAAATAATATAAAAAAGCACAAATATTTGTGAGATTGCGGCAAATTGTGCAATGCATTGTTTAATAAATGTTATTTTTATTTAAATTTTGTTTAAAAGTATATTTAAGGTTCAAATAAATTATTAAATGTTTTATTTAAGAATCCAAAAATAGAAGATGGTTATATATTTATTATATTTTTGGTTAAAAACCTAAAAGTTTGTGATTTCTGCTCCAATATTTTTCTAAGTTGCGTCGATTTAACTCCAGTTGCAACCTGCGTTTACTCCAAGTCTTTTTCAAACCCAACTGAGTCGGAGAAAAGTAAATTCTCCCGACAAAATGGACTCAATCATTTATAGGCTCCCATTTATTCTTCAACCTGAATCTTTTAAAAAATGGGAAGTATTCTTTGTTACGGATCCTGGGATATTTAAACGACTCTGAGGCAGAATTAGCAGTAAGGGAGTAAAAGACGTGTTTTTAATATTTAATAATCAAAGTGATGGAATGAAACGGCGGCCGGAGAAAAAAGGCGTTCGTGTTCAGGATTACAGTTCTGCCTGTCATGGGTCGATGAGATGATGTACGGTTCAGGACTGTGGATTTAATGAATGACTTCCTGTCCATTAAGATGAAAAGGAATACCTTCCCATTTCTAAGATTTATCGGTTCAGGTAATTGGAAGAAGACGAGAAATTATGCGGGACAGGTTAAATTTCCGACTCCAAAGACGGAGAAGTTGAAGGTTTGTCAAATGAAGGATGAACGTCTGACCCCTTCCGCCTCCTCCACCTGTCCCTCTCTGCTCTCTGTAACTCATCCAGACGCTCTTTATTTAAAACAAAAACAAAAGTATACATTTTCACAGTTTTTTTTTTTTTTTTTCAAATTTCCCCTCCTCTTTCACACTCATCTTTAGTTTTAGTAAATCCTCTGAAGTTTTAAAATCCCTTTAAATAGTTTCCGGGTTTAGTTTTGCAGCCTGTTTGCTGTTTAGGTTTTTGTGAATGATTTCCAGCTCTGCCGTTCTCCCCGGGAGTTTGTTGGCCCATTCACAGACTGACTCACCCGTCCTCGACTTCCTCTCAAACCCCCTCACTCCACCGCATGCTGCTACTCGTTTTCATGCTACAAACCAACTTTTAACCCTTTTTTATTTTTACATTTAATGCTTTCCTTAGTTTACTTGGATTTTAAGATTTTATTGCATGTGCATTTTCTCCTCTCTAGCTGTTCATTGTTTACTCTCCTCTGTTCACACTTCTGATGAGAGGGAATAACAGACCCCTGACCACATCAAGAGTGATAAAAGTGGAAAAATCTCTTGTTTTTTTTCATTTTGAAGACCTCCAGACACGTCAAGACACGCTACTGGTCTTGTGATAATGAGGATTCACCTCTTTGTGGGTATAAATAGAAGTGCTAATGACACATTTAATGTCTTTTTGCTGCAGAGAGTCAAACTTGAGGGATGCGGGGAAGCTGTCAGCGAGTGTAAACACTCTGGAGATAAATATGTGCATGCCTAATTGGAGCTGGAGCAGAGAAGGTTTCATTATTTTAGCATTAGCCGGGTGCAGGTGAGGCGTTCGCTGGGTTTGGGTTGGAACAGACCTGACTCGGTAGGTACAGGTGGATCCACCAGTGGGGAGGAAGCCAATTAGATACTGGTAACAATGGGTGATTGGCTGCTGGCAAACAGGTGGGAAAGCCGAGGAGACGGCGCAGTCAATGGACGGGGTGTCCTCCGGAAGTGGATCTGGGAGGTGGAGAGGGAGCCAGACGGAAAAAAGGGAAAAATCTGCAGCAAGCATGTCAGTGCAAGTCAGTGAGGGTCGATTAATGTCTTAATTTTGATCAAAAATCATTTTCTGCACGACTATGGAGAAAATGAAGCGCTCACTCCATTGAAAACCTCCTGGTTATTCCACCAAATATTTAATCTGAACTCTTCCTGAGTTAAAACGTTAATATTGTTGTTTCTAAATGAATATGAACTTGTTTTCAGGTTTGAAACAATACATCTTTTTCCTTATTCTGACCATTTCTCTGTAAATAAATGCTAAATTTTTGCTTTGAATTTCAGAGACATGTTGTCAGTAGCTCAAAGAATAAAAGAACAATGTTCATTTTACTCAAAAATATACCTAAAAATAGTAAAATCACAGAATTGGATCATTTTAAGTGATCTCTTATATTTTTCCATATATACACATATTTAGATTTGATTCATCAAAATCATCAAAATGAAAACAGATTCTTTAAAACAAGAAACGCAAAAGAATTTAAACATTAAAAAATCCAAAATGATAAAAAAGCAAATCTTTTTTTTGTTTAATATCTTATTATATCCTCAATTTTACAAATCTTTTGACAATAAAACTGCATTTAATTGAGATTTAGAAAAAACAGATATATGACAATATAATCACAGTTTTTAATACATTTCAGCATCAATAACATGAAACAAGTTGAGGTTGGAAAATGCATATTTAAGAGTGAAAATATCAAAATATATTTCAGAGATTTTCTTCATGAGTTTGAAACATAACCAGAAGAAGAGAATATAAAGCGACTCGGTTCTGCAGAGATCCGTCTGAACGTGAGAGATAAATCCTCTGCTCCATATTTTTCTCTTCTCTTTGTGTATTTAGCTCAAGTTCCCGACAATGACGAGCAGTTTGTTCCAGACTTCCAGACAGAAAACTGTAAGTAAGAAACATCGCCTCTCCTTCTCGTAGTTAGTGTGAAAATCCACCTCTTTCTTTTAGATTTATTTTAAATATTGTGTGTCTTTCGGTTTGTTCATCTTTGCTTTTTGTCTGCAACAGATAGACGTACGAAAACTAGAGTTTATCACGATCTGTTAACCTCTTTCTCTTGGTGGTTTATTTGCATAAAGAAAACATCAAAATCTTGAGGCAGACTTTTTTAAGCTGATATTTTTATCTCCCAACGCCTTTTAAGTGACATTTTCTTTTTTTAAATCTCCCACAGTAACCTTTTCTCAAAGGGCTTCTGCATAAACCATCCAGTGTGGTTACATTTTCTAAATAAGGCACGGTAAAATTAGTTACTACATTTATCTTTTTCACTGGAGGGTCGGCTCGTCTTGCAGAATAAAAACAGCTGTAACTTTTTTTTACACAATTTATTCCATTGAATATTAAATTAAGTTTCTAATAATACTTGCAGAAGTGTTGCTGTTGTCTGATTTCATGCACTCAGCGATAAGGAGAGCGCATAAACATCCCCTGGTTGTGAATGTTGGTTGCACATGGAGGCTTGGCTCGCTCCGTCTCTGGAGGAAGTGAAGCCAAGGAGGGGACAGAAATTGAGAGAGCGGAGCGCAGTGGGACTCGGATCGAGCACATGTCTTTCAGATGAGCCAAAATACGCATGAAACTGTGAGAAAAAGCAGAAGAGTGTGCGCCCATGCCATGATTTCCATCACCCTTTAACCTCAAGAGCCACAGCTGAACAATGTTTGTAGGTTTAAAGGTTTTAAATATGGTTCATTTTATCATCAATTTTGATAATAAATATTTTTAGGACCTCATTTTATTTTATAAGTTGCATAGAAAATCATCACTCTCACCTAATTTGATAATAGTGTGAGCAGCTGCACTGCAAAAACACAAAATGTTAAGAAGTAATTTTAGTCGGGTTTTTAATGTAAGCGTCCTAGTTCACAAAACGAACTTTCAAGTAACTTTTCAGCAAGAAATTGCTTTTTTTCCGTAAATAATTAGACCTGTCACAACAACAAGTGATCCTGGATGATAAATTGTCCCAGAAGTTATCGTGATAAACGATAACATTGTTGATTTGAGACACTTTTCACAATAATATTGTAAAAATGACACTGTGAAGGATCAATAAATTTCAAATAGTAATGAACATTTAATACTGGAACTGGATTTTAAATTCCCCAAATAAATAAGCAGAAACAACAAATAAAAAGAATTTCTGTAAATCTCTGTAAACCAAAGATTTTTATCATCCAGTTTTTGGTCAATTTAAATTTTTCATTTTTGCTTTATGACCTTGTATTTGTGTGTTTTTATGATCTGAAATGCCTTGTTGCTGAAATGTTCTGCACAGATGAACAATAAAACTAGAGAAAATGATGCATAGAAATCATTGAGCTCGTTCTAATTAATGATGTAATTAATTGATTTATTGTTTATTTTCCAGGCCTATAAATAATTATTTAATATTAATGAAAATGTACTACCTCTACTGGCAGATTATTTCACGTACATTGAGACGTTTTTCCATGTAAGTTAAATAATCTGCCAATGTATCAATACTGCGTTGCTAGGTAACGGACTGGGCTTGGCTGGGGTTGCTAGGTAACGGCACAACGCCCAATGATTGTTAGAAACTTTTCAACAATTATTGAGTCTAAACAAGCTGCTGTATTTTACTGAAAAGTTACTTATGAGTTATTTCAGTCTCATTTTAAGTGAACTAATATATTTTCACGAGAATCTTTTTTTGATTTTGTGTTTTTGCATTGAAAATAATAATAATAATAATTCAAACTAGTGTGTGTAAATCACCCAGTGATGAGTTCAGAACCAGAGGTCACCAAGACTGTCCCGTTGTCCTTCAGAGGTAGCCGGGGTGGGCGGCCATGATGGCAGGAGGCTGCTGACCATCTGAATTGCCCTGTTGGCAAACCTGCCGCAGACTGGAGGGGCACTAACAGATGGCGGGGGGGTGAGGGCGCCGCGCGGGGCCGGGCGCTTGAGCAGGCATCCCAGCCGGCAGCGATCCCATATGGGTTCCACCGGTCCGAGAGACGGAGGCGCGGCCGCCGAGGTGGAGGTGGAAACACTGAACAGAATGAACTGGAAGAAAAGCGGCCATTTTGTTCATGAAAATACCCAATAGATGTTTTTGCTGGTGATGACCAGAAAAACTCAATGAGACTCAATAGTACAGATTTTTTTTATTACACTGCAAACCACAAAATCTTACTGAGTACTTTTGGTCCAGTTTGTAGTCTTAGTTCACTGGAAATAAGTTAAATTAAAAGTAACTTTTCTGCAAAATACAGGAGCTTGTTTTACGTAAACAATTCCTTTATATTGAGGAAAAGGTTCCAGTTCCTTGGCAGATTATTTAATTTATAACAAGACATTTTTCCAATGTTCTAAGTTAATTTATCTGCCAATAAAGCAAGTTCTTGAACATCAATATTGAGGAATATTTACTTAAAACAAGCTTCTGTATATTGCTAAAAAGTGAGTTTTAAGTTAATTTGTCTTATTTTAAGTGTAACAAGAAATTTGCACTAGAAACTGGTCCAAAAATACTTGATAAGGTTTTCTGTTTTTACAGTGAAATCAAATTTATGTATTTTTTCAGTAATACAACATTCAGATGATAGAACTGTGAGAAAATATATTCTAAAATACGTAGAAAAGATAACTTTGCCCTCTATTGATGTGGTTTAGTCGTCCATATAAAGGCTTTAAATGTTTTGACTCTGTTAAAACCCAAGCAACTGTTTACTTGGGTCAGTGTTTTAATTAATGGACTTACTGATTATTTTTAAAAGATAAACAATTCATCTTTTAAAAATAATGGCGCAGTCTTGGTTGGATTCTGGTCACATGTAGAGAAAACACAGATACACACAGCTAAACCATTAGTGATAGTTTATTTGCTCTCTTGTCCTTTATGACTGAACATGTCGACTCAAAAGAGATTTTTTGGTTTTCAGATTGAAAGTATGAATAAATATGTTAGATTCCATGAATCCAAATTACAGCGACAGATTTATTCTGAAAATATTCATGTTTGGATAAATACTTAATTAGCTGGCTAGCTACTTTTCTAGCTTGTTGCTAAAAATTATTAGCATTTCTCCATTAGCATTTGTTTTACTGTATAAAAATATGATCTACTCATTAATTTTATCTGAAATTTAGATTGTGACAGGATTGTTAAACATTTCTTTTGCTAGCTTGGTACGTGGCAAACTAATATCTTATGCTAATCATTTTTGCTACTACGAAACATTAACATTACCAAAATATGTTTATTATAGATCGATACATAAAATAAATAAATAAACGAGCTAGCTACATACAGCATATGCAAATCAGTTAGCGCTAGCAAAGAACAAATGAGTTTATAAAAGTATTTTGTGCAACTTAGTTGATATATTTCACACAATTTGGTGTTTTTTATCATAAGAAGCATTAATTTAAATTTTGTTTTTGGACATTTGGCAATAATGATAAAACTTTGTAGTTTATTATCCTCCCTTTTATTTTGATGAATGTATTAAAATAACAATAATTCACATTTTTATCATCTGAAAGTGTTGCCATACGTGTTCATTTGGGAAAAATAAAATTTGAAATCAAAGTATTATCTGACGTTGACCATTTTGGTTTGTTGTTGCCTGTTGAAAGTCAAAACTAAATGGGGGTTTAATCTGTATGAATATTTAAAAAATATTCCTATGAAGTAATGAAAATAGTAAACTTAAAGGTTGAAATGTTATTTTAGACCTAGAAATCCACCTTAATCTGTTTCTTTGTGACAGGTGAACTCAAATGTTTAAATTGATAGAGCAGCCATTGATACTTAAGTTTGGTTTCAAGTTTTTGGAATTTACAATAAATAATGCCTGGCAATTACTGATTCTCATCATCAGACTTTAAGAAATTATGCACTTTTATTAATTTTTAAAAATTTATCATTAAGCTTAGATCACTAAATATGGGATAAAATCCACAACAATTGGATTACAGTTTGGATTTTTGTTCATATTAAAAAGTCTTGATGAGAAATTTGGCAATCAGTGATTTCTGTTTCAACTGATAAAAGAAAAAAAATCATATTATCTCAAAATTGTTGTTTGTATTTGTATCAGCCATTTTTGGTTGGATAATGACGATCACAAATATGAATTTAAAAAATCACATTTAGACAGAAATACCATTTTTATAAGATTTCTTACTCTGGATTTTGCTTGTCTGTAGAGAATGCTTAAACAAAAATACACATAAACCAGTCAGATAAACACATTTTGCTGGTTCCAGAAGATATTGCAATAAACAATAATATTGTTTTGAGACCATTTCCAAGTAATGTAAAAGTAACGCCATAAATAATGAAAGAACACGTTCTCAAAAGTCAATAAACTTTACTTTTTAATGAACATTTAACACTAAATATCCAAAATAAACAAACAAAACAACAAAAAAATTAATTATGAGCAAAATTGTCCTTCACAAAAATGTATAGTTGAGACCCAAACAAAAGATTGCAGATCATCTTATGTAGAACAAGAGGAAAAACTATAAGTCAAAATATAAATATAATTATTGAGCTTGTTTTAATTTGTGATCAACTAAATTGATTGATTGATTAGTGCGACAAAATGTATTTAATTTCCCATCAAAACAGAAAGTAAAAAAATCAAAACCAGTGTAAACTGTAATAATGAACTAAATGATCCAGTAAACTTTTGGTTCATTTTGTGTTTTTTCCACCTTTCGTCTCATGACCTTTACATGCCGAACAAGCAGGGCAGCCTTTCAATGTCAACTTTCTGCTCTCCGCCGATCAACCAGCATGCCAAGCAAAAGTGTCACAAAGCTGAAGGAGAATCGGGAGAAATTTCTTTGTCTCAAACTCCGACACAGATGCTTACCATTAGCATAACTTAGCAGGGAATGAAGGA